CCAGAGGCAAATGCAGGGACACTGCATTAAATTAGACCACAACATCGCCCTTCCACTAATCGCCCTATCGAGCGACGTCACAAAATACGAGAGCAATAAACAAGAAAACGCCCATCTGGTACTTTGTTTATTTAAATGCATTCTCAGCAGCGTCCAATGGCAGGATGGCGAAGTGGTCGTGGCCTAATCTGAGGAAAACCACGACAAACTTTAGACAGATTCCCGGCGGTGCCCGAATTTATAACTTGTGTTGGGCAAGGCCGTGGTCTAGGCAACACGGAGTTTTCCTCCGTGGCATCCCAACAATTACTCCATTCACACACAGAAGAAGGCAATGGCAAACCACTTCTGGATCATCTGCCAAGAACGTATATGAACAGGTCCCAGTCCGAGAAAAGGATGGAAGGATCCTGTTCATATGGACCTGTCGTCAGACAGAACACTAAATAAAAAAATAAAATATATATAAAGCAGGAGTGCTAACCACTCGACCAAGACGTGGGCTTCGCACGACCGACCAATCATTGCAGAAACAAGAAAAGCAAATTAATGTGCATATTTAATGAACCACGGCAGGGATGACCAACGTACAGCTGGCACCAGAGATAACCACTCATTACACGTTCTGTGCGTGACGCAACGTCCGTATTAAAGCCGCTCTGGCTGAATGTTCGATTCCGAAAGAAACCTGAATGATGGTTAATTTCGGACAAGTTACGTGCAATTTTGAAAGGACAGATAAATCCGTGATACTATCCTGGGGACTTCTACCGCGTGAGAAGGCGACCAACTGGTTAAATCTTGAAACAAATTACCTTCCACGAAACGTGTTAGATGCAATAGTATAATTACAATACAACAGACATTCTAATTTATTTTACGATGAATAAACACATTCTATAAAGAGACAAACTAATGACCAAAGTCCAATATCTGTTAACAGAAAGGTCATTTATAGGTCTCACTGCACCCAACAGTTAATTCAGTTACAGCTATCCGATAAAAAAAAATTATTCTATGGAAAATGGCCTGAAAATTCAGACAATTCTTGTAATTTACTTCCAATACCTGAGCAAATGTTAAAAAAAAATCTGGTACCATTTCCCGCACTGCAGCTAATTCCACAACTCCATGCACACGACGTGCCACGTGGCAGAAGACACCCCCCCCCCTCCCCAAGTTGTCTCTTGAACGTAACCGGAGTTTTTAAAACGAGAGAATAGGTCGATGGTCATTCGATTATAATTATCAGAACACAAAGTACTTTAATAGCCTATTTGCGACTTTAGATATCAGACGGAAGGACAAAAGTATTCTGAAATGAACAGAACTAGACATTCCCGGAATCCAATTTGCTCTTAATTTCTCGATCGCTAAATATAATTCTGGTTTGTTACTGTCGTCATAGAATATCTGAGGGGCCGGCAAAATTAACGAGACTGTACAGCCCTGTGCCTACAGAGTTTAAAACATCGCCACGTAAAGCGCTCATTACTTCGTTCTTAAGCCACAAACGCGAATAGTAACAAAATTTTAACAGCGAACTTTTGTTAACATAAGACCAGTCACTACTGATAATTGGCTTAACAACTTAAAATGACATTCTTTCGTTTAGAGGATGAACACGTAAATAATGCCGAAACACAATGTTTACGCGCGTCATTTTTTAATGTTAACACGACTATCCTAATTACTTGTATATTTGTGGAAACTTTTTCTCTCCCCAGACCGTTCTTTTGTTAATAGAAGCAGCTCTGCTAAACGAAGCCACAAATGAGACCAGCCCTCAAGCTGCTGCTGCACCACAAGCAGCTTGTCTATCACATTTCAAGTCAAAAACTTTCCAAAACGAGAAGAGTTCATAGCGAAATTCTCCTTACTAAGACTACCGAATGACAACCAAGTTCTGCCGCTAGAGCACAGCACCTTCCACGCAGCGACATAACCTAACATCTGTCTCTTCTCAAAAGCGGTGTTACGTGACTTAACCTTTTTTTTACGTGAAGCCAAAGACATCCAAATTCTGTGCAAAAGTTCATAAGGTACGTACGACATAAGAAAATATCACCGTTATCATCGCCCCGATGATGGGGGCAGCAAGGACCTCTGAAAAGTCGATAAGCTCCTACCAGACTACACGGCAATCAGTAAGCATAAAATCACTCGAAGAAAAGAACAATTTGAAACGAATTTTGTCTTATTTGGTGTAAAAATCAACAAATGTCTGTTTTAGACAAAGTGCGAGGTGAATTTTAGAACTTAGAAATATACAGAAATAGTTGACACACAGACAAAGACCTGGAACGAGTTCTTTTAACCTTGTCCATTAACATATAAAGTATGAATGGTCAATATCGATTTATAAAGTTCGCTTTCGAGCTAAAAATAAAAACTGTCCAGTCCCTTTTGGGTACACAAATTATTAAACTGCATTTAACTCGTCACAAAGAGGAAAGAACCATCGACAATCTAAATATAACCGTTTCTAACCTAACTACGTTTTGTCTCAGAATTTTTCATGATTCGGAACACACCAGAAAGTTCCCAATCTCCTCTCCTCGCTATTGGCCCCGAGTTTTCGAGCAAAATTCGATAAACAAATGACCTTGTTTCGTCATTACGCCCTGATAAGTGTTCCGAGAATAGGATTTTGAAATACCTTCTGAGAACTAATGACGTCACGACTACGTAACTGAGTCCCGACACCTGGAACTAACGATCACTGCCAATTCTTTTGTATGGAAGTGTCACACAAACATTAATGAAGATTCCTCTGTTCTGGGTTGTAGTCAGGCAGATGTTAACCAACGTTTCAGAGGTCATACTGCCTCCATCATCAGGGCTTATTCATCGCCCTGATGATGAAGGCAGCATGACCTCTGAAACGTCAGTAAACTCCTACCAGACTACTGGCACAACAACCCAGAAGACAGAAATCTTCAGACAATAAAAAATACCTCCCTGCCCACTGCAGACCCGACAAGGAGGTGAGGGCCACTGAGACTTTTGTCCACACGGGCACCTCCGCTCTCGAATCTTGATAACTGCTTCAAAATCAACAGCGCCCAAGTCATTAATGCCAAAACACGGGCCTACTTAGTACGATGGCTGGTGATGATGTTGGGTTTGGGGTTTACGTGACGGCGAATCCTCTGAGGCTGTAGCACCACAGAGACCTTCTACGCAACTACGAGGCAGTACAACCCAGACTACACCTTCCGAACCCACTGTCTATATACACGTCTTTCTACATTCTCTTTGATTGTAAAGTGGACATTTGCTTCCCAATTTTAAGAATCAGGGAAGTTGGTGGAGACAGAAGGAACCAACAGGACAAGCAGAGTCTGTTAAATATTCCAGGATTTCGTCCTTCACAAAAATTAAAAATTGTAAACCCGAATATCAAAAAATCTTGGCTTCCTTTTTTATTTCAATTTACCACAAAAACTTTGGTGTATGTAACGACACCTGAGGCAGTCGACATTCCTCTGCACTACGACAAAATTCGTAGTTCGATTTGCATCAGATGCCTGTATTGATTTTACTCGGGCGACAAAGTTATTAACGTCTGCAATGACAGAATTCAACGACAGTTCACAAACTATATTCAGTTTCAACCTCATAACGAGACTGATTTAATTTCAATCACTTTGTACTCGGATGCGACCGTGAAGGTCACGCGACCCAGTCGCAGTAATTCAACGACAAACCCGCAACATCGAATCAGCTCACATAAAGCGCTGGAAAAGAGATGGCGTTTCCAGTGCCAAAACAAGGAAGTTGGGATGGGCAGGACATGTAGCGGGCACGGAAATATTCACCGAGATGAGATCACTCTGGAGAAATCGGCTCAGATGAGAGCAGAGTCTTCAAGGAAGTGGATTGGACTCATCTGGCTCAAAGTCAGGTCCAGTGGATGCACTGGGTCCCACAGAAGGGCGAAGGACTCCGCTCCACTGAACTGGTCAATATTTAAGGGAATTAGACCACCACCAAGTTCAAAAAATGGCCAAAGGCTTTTGTGATTTTCAAAAAAAATTGAAGGAAAAAACAAGCGGAGAAGTAGATTGTTGAACTTTGCACTGTACTGTAAACGCACTCGCAAAAGAAATAAAGGTCTCCCCGAAGGAGCTGTAAAGACCTGTTCTTCGACAAGATATAATGGACCAGGCTCTTTTAAAAAAGAGGAACACCGATATCTCGAAGGCAGTCTTCCAATAATTGGAAGTAACGCCAAGGGGAACAGGATTTTAAAGATGCTGCATTAACA